CAGAAAAAAACACGCGCATATACAAAAGTAATACGAAAACTTGAATAGGTTGAATAGAGCCGTATCCATAAGAAATATCTCTATCTTTTCATTTAGCAAATGTTAGCAAATGTCGACCGAGATTGTTCTGATATATCCTGGAGCCAGTTTCATAAAAAAACTTAAATATGACTTAAGTCAAAACTGGAACTTAAATCAAAAAAGACAAAGAACTTTTTGAACTTAAGTTTGACTTTAAATTATTTTATGAAACTGGCTCCTGTTCTTCTTTCTATGTGGTAAAGATATTAGAGATATATAAAGATTGAACATGTGAATATCTGTGATCTCTCTTCGGGCTGTATAAATAACTACAGCTCTATCTATGATTCATAACTCAGCCAGTTTTTTCTTGAAATCAAATTTTTTTTTACAGTTAGTTTTGCGAGATTTACCTCGATTCAAACGAGTAAACAAACCCGAAAATAGTCTGGAAAATGCTACCAAAATATCGATAAAAGCAGAAATGTCGTTTTTCGTTCAAAGAACGACAAAGCACATTAGAGACTTGCATGGACACTTTTTTTGTCCATGTCCGTTCATGTCCATGGACAAAATTTTTTTTCGGTTCACGTCCATCATTTTGTACATGGAATGCTCGCGGTTTTTAAACAAGTTTTGCATATGAAAATTTCATTCCTTTTTCTATATTCAGCAAAAAACGCGTTTGCCTGTTACAGAACAAACATACAGTTCAAAAAAATATTTATTAGGCACCGAGTTACTGAAAGGTACTATTCTTCATTCTTGTGCTCGACTTGTTCATCGTCACTGACTTCGGCATCAATCCCAACTGTCGTCAATACTTGAAGATTTCGTGGTGAGACGTGCTGAGAGAAGCAGAGACGAAGAAACAAGGTATAGACTATATTCTGTTTGTTTGTTCTTTTCTTTCTTTCTTAAGGCCAAATATCTTATCACTGGCGTTCAACCGAATTGTTGTTTTGAAAAAAATTTAAGAGTTTATCGACAAGATTCTCTTCCTCTGAATTATCAAAGGAGGTAAGGCGCCGGTCATTCGAAATTGGAGTATATACCTCCACAGGACAATGAAAAAGAGATAAAAAATGATTCATTAATTAATCATTAATTGTCAATTAATTGGCCGTTTTTTGGTCATTAATGGTCATATTTTACATTATTTTTATCCCATAAACGGTCTCATTATTCGGGCGTATTTAGACCGTTGTTTTTACCGGGTAAAAATGATCGTTTTATGAGCATTCAATAATGATCATTTTTGTGTCATTTCTCAGACATTAATGAGCCATTTTTAGATCATTAATTGGATAGTCGATAAACGTTCGTTTTCGATGATCATAAATACATCATTTTTACCTCATTTGTGAGACATATTAGTTATTTTTATCTGATTCGAATGATATAATTACGACCATAAAACGATACCATCGGCTGAATCAACTGTAGGAGTCATTTTACGGTCGTAATTGCAGCATTCGGATGACGTAAAAATGGTCAAGTATGAACAACTAATGACGTAAAAAGGAGGTACTCATGGTCATTAAAAAACAGCGCTTTGACTGTCAAACGTATTTTCTTATATCGACTTTTACCGCAGTTTTGACATACTATATGAGTTTTATTGATCTGACTTCACTTTTCATCCACGTTTAATTTTCTACACTAGTGAATGACCTTCTCTCTGAATGTTTAAATTCATTTAAATTCCTTTTTCGTAACCTTTTATGCGAAAAATCTATTTAAATTCATTTGTCTCAATGAATCTGGTTGTAGTTTTTTCGAAAATCTATTTAAATGCATTTTACTTTTATCTCAAGAAAAAAGAAATTTAAATTAACCTTTTACAAAAACTAAAATCAGATTCATCAAGATAGAAATGAATTTAAACAGATTTTTCTGAAAGAACTTTAAAAACTCAGTTTATATAGGTTTTCTTTCAGAAAAAAGTCGCTTTAAATTGATTTTTGCATCAAGAATAAATAATGAATCAAAAAAAAGCCCCATATTTCTTTTAAAATTGTTGCAATGGGAAGTTAATAGTACTCTTTTTTATTATGGTCGGATCTTTCATAATGATTTGAGGGCCCATTTAAGGGGTCAAAACCCATCCTCCAGTATGGAACCCTTTTTTTAAATACACATCAAGCTAGAGATCTCGGGTTTGTTTTATTTGAAACTAGACACCTAACTGCGTGAGGTGCTGGGACCCGATTTTTGAATTAGGCTTTCCTTTTCTAGAAAATCAAGAATCTCTGGAAAATCCGTAAATATTTTTCGCGTTTTTGAGGATCTTCAATCTCTAGAAAACTAACGAAGACCTAAATCAAAAATCGGGTCCCAGCACCTCACGCAGTTAGGTGTCTAGTTTAAATAAAACAAATCCGAGATCTCTAGCTTGAAGTATATTTAAAAAAAGGGTGCCACACTGGGCATGTTCGAACAAAAACGCCAAAATAGGACACCCGTGGGTGTTTTTGAATAACTTTTGATAGAAAGCAGCCAGAGAGCTCCGATTTTTTCCATGCGAAAGAAGATACTTGTGGACATGTTTCCACAAGCATAATTGTTTTCTGAAGAGTTTGATTTTCAGTTTTTCGCGAAAAACTGAAAATCAACGAAAGATTTCGAAATGTATACTTTTTATTGCATAAAACGTGAGTTCTGGTCGAGAAAACAGAGAATTACTACAAAATTATTTTTAGAACAATGTATCGAGAATTGAAAAAATAAATCGAATCGGTGACTACAGACGAGCAATAATTACTGGACATTGTATCGATAGTAGACCGATTTGGTGTCCAAAAACTTTGTTAATCAATTTTCCTCCCCTCGTTCGTAATCATTGTATTGAATTAACTACGAAAGAAGAACAAGTTTTCATACTCACACCTAAGTTTGTACCTGAGAATATCGAAATCGGTCGTAAATGTTTAGAAGATGAAACGAATGAAATGATTATACAATTAAAAACAATTTGTCACAATAATAAATTCAGTTACAAGAATATATTAAGAATTGTAGATTTATTGGCCCTAAATCGTAAAAAAGAACATATTATCTTTTACAATTTAAGGGCAATAAATTTAGAATTGTAGAAATTAATACAGCAGCTAATTTAAACCGCATTTTATTACGAACGAATAACTTTAATTTTTAATAATTTTAATTCTAAGAACATATTAGTTCAACAATTCATCTCATCTATTAAGGATTATTTACAATCGATCTACAAACCAAATTATGATCGAAGTAAACATTAACATATTATTAGTAATCGTAGCAAGAAAATTAAGGATGAAAATGCCATAGTTCGAAAAGCCGATAAAAGGAAAACGTTATTTATTGGAGACTTACTGACATTTAAAGTAAAAGCCGAACAATACATGCGAAAAACGAACGCTTATCATGTACTTAAAGACAATCCTGTTAATCCCGCAATGCAAAAAGCGTTAGCATTTTTACGTAGATTGATGTTTACGAAAAGAATTACTGGAAAATTGTTTACCAGAATTGCACGTAAATTTCAGGTAACAAAACTACCAAACCTATATCACTTGTACAAGGATCACAAACCTGATATACCATTTCGACCAATTTTACCGAATACACACAACCCGACATCACCCATGTCTTCTTATCTCGATCAACTTTCATGACCTATCTTTAATAAAATGTCACGATTGTATACCATTGAAAAGAGCATTTGGCTCGTTAAAATTTTAGATCAATTAAACACGAACACAAAATTTATAACGTTTGATATAACCGATCTTCACGTAATGAGGATGGCTAGAATATCAAAAAAATGTGTACTTTCGTTCTTTTGTCAACGGAACTCATTGGAACTTATGTGGAGCCACTTAGTACCACCGGAGCTGGCGTACAAAAACTACAAGCTACTTCCATTGAATTGACCGCTGTTAGGAAGTGTAAACCAAATCTACATCGAAACATACGGACAGAGCCAATGAAAACAACGATAAACATGGAAATTTTGTTGTTTTTGAAAATTTCATGAAATAAGCCGAAATTCTCGTTATTTGCATATTTTAATTTTTTTTAACGATAAATATTTTTTTAAAACTAAGATCGATGTTTTCCTAGTTAACTCGATTGGCTCTATCCAACCAAATCAAAACAACGAACGAAAACATTTTATCGATTTGTGGATTATCGCCACCTTACTTAGGTGTAGTTATTCTACAAAAAGCAACTACAAAACTTTCAAGATTTTTCATCGGCGATGGCGGCTGAGTGACCCAAGCTTCTGGATCGCTTTCGATCGCGCCGGCTTATTGGTTCACACGTCTAACTATGGTAGCTCGAAATTTGGTGCTTGGGGCTTCAAAGATTGTGTTTGTTCTGAAACAGACCTACGAGAACAGAAATTAGAAAGTAGAATTTTTCCACTGCTTGAACCCCTTTTAGTAAGATTTGACTGGCTAAGTTGGTTGTCATATTGTCCAGTTGTTCTTTCCGTTGCCGAAGTGATCGTTTCTCTTCTTTTCTCTCTTCGTACTGCTGTTTCCATCATGTTTTCCATCATTTCCCCAAAAATTCGACGACGGTTCATGATAGTACTCTGGGTCTACTTCGCGAAACTGTGGAGAGCTCTTCAAACAGACCATCTTCGGTTGCAAAAACCTCTTTGCAAAACGGCCGATGACTCATCTGCATTTGATTTGGCGGAGTTATAGCGTAAGCAAAATTTTCGCCCGAAAAATCGCTTTTTTTCCGTATTTTACGACTATTTTGCAAGCGCTCTAGCGTCGAGGGAAAGCACTTTGGAAAAGAATGTCAAGAGACAAAAGTGTTCAGAACACATTTCTCTATCTGCTCTGAAAATTTGAGAATGTTCATTGAGCACGCTATGCAGGAAAAGCGCGTTTCTATCGTGCACTGTCTCATAATCGACTATTTGAAAAATCATGCTAAATGAAGGTCATATTTACATACTTGTATTACATAAAAGAGTAGAATTAACATGAACAAAGGTGAACAATATTTCTTGTGTTTGAAATTTTGAAATGTTTGAAATTTGGATTTAAAACGGATAACCAGGAATAATCAGTAATTCTTGTTTTTGTTATTTGTTTATTATCAGCTCCATGAAGCACCGGCATACCAATATCATACAATAGCTTGTTTGTTTTATTTTCAAAATGTTGTATTTGTAACTTTTTTAGTATGTCAAAATCTTGAATCGACAATCTTTTGTTAAATGTTGTTGGTAGTATTTTACCAAATGTTGTATTAATTGGTGCATTATTCGTTACGTTAGCCATATCCACAGCATCACGATCAAGTTCATTATTATCTAAATACATACAAAGAGGAAAATATATTAATAACCTGCAGATAATTCTTCATTACACTTATCACTAAGAAAGGATTTTATTCGTAATTGTGCGAAACAATTTTTCATTTTTCAAAGAGTCAGATGAATCTTAGTGCCAAATCAATGACAGTTGTGAAACCTAGCTAGCAGTTACATAAGTGTCGACATTTCTTTTTGTTGCAAAATAAGCCTTAATAAATTTTTTTTATTGTGACAGAATTGATCAAAGCAATATTTTTTGGTTATTTTTACGATTTAAACAATTTGAGTTACTTAAAAATGGAATTCCTGTTATTTTTAAGCAATTCTGGTTTCTTTGCTTTCTTTCCAGCATTTCGAATTGGTAGTTATTTTTAAGCACTCAAAATCACAGAGACTTTTAACAATTTCGATTTATATTTCCCACTTTTCTGATTTTCAGCTTTCCCAAAAAATGTTTGGCTAATTGGAGTAATATTTTTTGAAATTTTGATTTTCGGTACTTACAATAATATTTTTTGTTTTTGTCTATACATTTAACCGAATTGCTTAAAAAAAAGAAATTCGGACAGTCTTAAAACAGCGCATCATCCTGGAGTCACCTGTACCATTATGGAAAAAAAGGAAGTCGGATTATTTATTTTCATCAGCAATTTATGTTAATGAATAGACCAAAACAGAAAATATCGATTTTACCTAATGAAAACCCAAAACTTGAAAAACCATCGCTCCGAATCGATTAAAAAAAAGAATTACTCCAAACTGCTGAAAAAAAGAGTAATCTGGGCGTAGGCCTGTGACAGTTGTTATAAGCTATTTATTGAAAGAAAGAAATTCATGTACTTGTATCGACCAAAAGAGTGAACGAGTCCTCATTATTATTGATGGTGACACAAGGAACATAGATCAATTCAAAAAGATAAAACAGCTGAGTGATTTAGTTTAGTTCTTAGAACTGAAACTATCGATAACAGTTTCAGTTCTTTGAAATTGGAACTTTCTTTTGTAAAACCTTACTATGATTTTTAATTAGATTTTGGGTAAAAAGAAAAAATTTACGCATATCACAGAACAACTATTATTTATTAAGTCTATATGTTGTCTTTTATTTTAAGAAAACGATAAGTGTTTTTCCTCTCGAAAATACCGTTTTCTAAAGACCATAGTGCTATCGTTTGGTAGTTTTGAAAGCACTGCTTCACTACCGAAAGACTAATATTTTTTCAATAAAAAAGTTTCGATTT